ACCTCAAAGGATAACGGTCGCCTCTGCCTATCTGCATAGCTCTTCTGTCAGCTCTGAGCCGTGAGCAGCCTCTGTCTAATCAACTTAATTTTCTCGGTAGTCTCGAGTACAATGTCGGGTCCTAAGGCGGTTGTCTCGCCCACCTCAGTCCAACAGACAGGAGACCTACAAGGTCTACCATACAACGCCTCAAATGGAGCCATCTGAATACTTGCCTGATAACTGTTGTTGTAGGCAAACTTAATAAGTGGAAGGTGATCCTCCCAACTACCACCCAAGTCAAGTACATAGGCCCGAAGCATATCCTCCAAGATCTGGATAGTACGCTCTGACTGGCCGTCCGTCTGTGGATAGAATGCCGTGCTAAGGTGCAACGCTGAGCCAAACGCTGCTTGAAGTCCTTTCCAGAACTTCGAGGTGAACTTGGCATCTCTATTCGACACAATAGTCACTGGAACTCCGTGCAATCTCACAATCTCCTTCACATAAAGGACACCAAGTGCCTCTGCATCATTTGTTGCCTTAATAGGCAAAAAGTGAGCAGTCTTGGTCAACCTATCAATAATGACCCATACGGCTTCATTTCCCCTCCGTGACCTAGGAAGACCTGTCACAAAATCCATGGCAATCTCCTCCCATTTCCACTGCGCTACCGGCAATGGTTGCAATAAACCAGCTGGTCTCTAGTGCTCGGCCTTCACCTGCTGACAGGTAAGGCACTTAGCCACAAATTGTGCAACATCCTTCTTCATTCCACTCCACCAATACTGACGTCTTAGATTGTGATACATTTTGGTACCACCCGGATGAACTGCAAAGCGGGAAGTATGAAACTCCCGTAAGACGTCCTCACGACAAACTGTAGGAACAACCAACAAACCCCTAAACCGTAGACCTCCATTTGCATGTAAGGTCCAATCCTTCACAATCTCGCCACTGGAGATCAAAGTGTAAATGGCATCCAAATCTGAACCCTGTCTCTGTAACTCAATCACCCATCTAACAAGAGTGGGTTGAGCCACGAGACTAAACAAGAATGCTGACTCACTGCCATCATCATCATCATCAAAACAATACAATCCTATTTCAGCCAAATTTTCCAGCATTTTCCATTTCCGAATGGCTAGACTAGCCAAAGTCCTACGAGATTTCCGGCTTAAAGCATCAGCTACCACATTTGCCTTGCCAGGATGATACTGCAAATCAAAGTTATAGTCTTCTAAGAATTCAACCCATCGCCTCTGTCTGTTGTTCAAGTCCTTTTGGGAGAAAAGGTACTTGAGACTCTTGTGGTCCGAGAACACCTCAAATCTCTCACCATACAAATAGTGTCTCCAACACTTCAAAGCAAATACAACTGCCGCTAACTCTAAGTCATGAGTAGGGTAGTTAAGCTCGTGAGTCTTCAACTGTCGAGACCCATAAGCCACTACTTTATCGTCTTGCATCAGTACACAACCCAAACCATCACGTGAGGCGTCACAATAGATCACATAACCCAAGCCACGCTCAGGTATCACCAACACCGGAGCCGTAGTCAACCTTGTTTTCAACTCTTGAAAGGATGATTCACAGGCCTCATTCTATGCAAACTTGATCCCTTTCCTGGTCAATCTGGTCATAGGAGTTGCCAAACGGGAAAAATCCTTCACAAATCTCTGATAATAACCCGCTAGGCCAAGGAAACTCCGGATCTCAAAGACATTCTTGGGTTGCTCCCAACTCAAAACTGCCTCTATTTTTGAAGGATCAACTGAAACCCCACCTTCCGAGACAACATGTCCCAAAAATTTCACCTCTTGTAGCCAAAACTCACACTTTTCATACTTGGCGTACAAACGGTGCTCCCGTAGAATCTGCAACACTATACCCAAATGGACCTCGTGCTCTTCCCGAGTCCGTGAATACACAAGAATATCATCCACAAAAACTACCACAAACTGATCCAAGTAATCGTGGAAGACACGGTTCATTAAATCCATGAATGCCGCCGGTGCATTGGTTAAACCAAAAGGCATTACAAGAAACTCGTAATGTCCATACCGCGTACGGAACGCGGTCTTTGGAATATCCTCCTCTCTAACCCGTAACTGATAATAACCTGACCTCAAGTCAATCTTTGAAAAACAACTGGCTCCCCTCAACTGATCAAATAAATCATCTATCCTTGGTAAAGGATACTTGTTCTTGATGGTGGCATGATTCAACTTTCGGTAATCAATGCACAACCTCAAAGAACCATCTTTCTTCTTAGCGAACAAGACCGGTGCACCCCACGGTGACACACTCGGTCAGATAAAGCCTTTCATCCTCAAATCATCAAGTTGCTTCTTCAATTCTTCTAATTCAATCGGTGCCATACGATACGGTGCCATAGAGATTAGCGCGATACCAGGCATCAAATCAATAGCAAATTCCACCTCTCGGTGTGGAGGCAACTCAGTCAAGTCCTCTGGAAACACATCCAGAAAATCACGCACAACTGCTGGATAATCAACCCCATAAAACTCAACGTCATCATCGGCGAAAAGACTAGCCAAGAAGAATGTCTGCCGATCTCGACCCCTAACACCATAAAATGAATGAGTGAGAGGATCACACCGATCTCCCACAAAACAGAAACAATCCCCATCCAGGGTACACATTGAAACTCTGCCCCCGAAACAATCAATGACAGCTCTGAAGGATGACAACCAGTCCATCCTAAGAATGACGTCAAATCCCGTCATCTCGAGAAAGATGAGATCGAACTCAAGAACACGTCCGGCAATTGTGATGGAACAACTCCCATAAACTCTACTAAAAGCAACTGCACCCCCGATAGGCGTGTCAACACAAAGCGATCTGTCTAACTGACTGACCTCTAAACCTAATGCCCGTGCAAATGATAAAGCAATGAATGAATAAGAAGCACCGGAATCAAACAATACACGAGCCCAAGAATGGGACACAAGAAACATACCCCTGACAACTGAAGGACTGGATGGTGACTCGGCTGGAGTGAGTGCAAACAGGCGACCCTGGGTCCTCTGCCCCTGAGAACTGCCTGCCTGATAGCCAGACTGCTGAGTAGGTGCACTCGAAGAAGCTCCCCTACCAGGTCGAGAACTCTGGGCTAACATAGTTAGCTGAGACGGCTGAGGTGGTGGTGGTGGTCGAAACCCTGACTGAACTGTGGCAGACTGCATCTACCTCTGCTGTGAACCTCTACCTCTGCCCAAACCACTGCCCCGCTGTGGACAATCTTTCACCCTATAGCCTTGCTGGCCACACCCGAAACATCCACCAGACGCCACCTGAATCTGAGTACACTGGGACTTGTGATGCCCTGGCTGCCCACACTTGAAACAAATCATCTGAGCTACCTGTGTCTGAGTGCATTGGGACTTGTAATGTCTCAACTGCCTGCATCTGAAACAAGTAACATTCGGTCTAGAAGACCCCATGGACACTGAAGCTGTGGGTGCAGATCTGACTGGCTGCTGTCCTCTGAACCCTGACTGCTCATGCTTCTGCTTCTTACTTGATTGACCTTCGGAGAAAGTACTCATACCCCTGTTGTGCTTGTAGGACTCCCTGATAGCCTTGTTGTCCTTACTCTCAGCCTCAACCACTAAAGCTTTTCGTACTGCTTTTGCATACTCTGTCGGTTCTTAAGCAGCTACAATTGGCCTAATGGTAAGATCAAGGCCATCAACAAATTTCTCAATCTTTCCTTCTTCATCATTAGCAATTCCCGATGCAAACCTCAAAAGTGATGTAAACTTATTTTCATACTCTGTAACTATCATACTTCCTTGCTTTAACCCATCAAACTCCTTCTTTAGTTCCCTCTGCTTAGGCGCTGGAAAGTACTTCTCATAATACAACTTCTTGAATGTAGCATATGTCATAGTATCCAGATTATGGGTGTGAGAAACGGTCTTCCACCAAATCTCAGCATCGCCCACAAAATTGTAAGTAGCCAATGTAATCTTCAACTTGTCCGTTGCCAAATTCATGGCATTAATATGCTTCTCCACCCTATCCATGAAACTATCCGCAACAAGCGGATCTGGACCGCCCTCAAACAGAGTTGGCATCAATTTCACAAACTTTGCAATGTGGTAAAGAGTATCATCTAACTCATTTTTCTTTGGAGGTGGTGGTGGTGGTGGTGGTGCCGGTGGTGGCACAAACTGTGACGATGACGCACCTGTCGGTCGATATGCATCAAAAATAGCCTCTTGAACGGCTAACCTCAACTGCTCCCTATTTATCTGAAAAGGTGGGTCAACGGTCCCCCTCGCTCGTCCCTCTCTTGGTGGGACCAAATCACGCAATAAGATATCTTCCTCAACTTGCTCCTGATCCCTTTCCACGGGATTGGAGCTAGAACTTTCCCCGGGATCCCTTCGTGTTGCCATGAAGCTATAAAAAAAGGAAACGGATCAATTACGATGACACTAAAATACGCACGAGAATGGAGTCCTCACACGAATGATTTGACAAGAATGGAAACACATAAACACTTTCCATACTTCCAAAATACCCAACTAAGGATAAACATAATCATAATAATATACAACAACATTAACCACTTAACACGTAATGATATAAGCATTTAAACAATTAAGCATGCCTTTCAAATAATTAAACACCTTAACATATAAGCATGTAATCACGTAAGTAATTAAACAAGTAAGCAAATAACTCAACTCCCCATGCAATCCTAGGTAGGCCTCTACCCGTCGTCCTAATGGTATTCGAACTATGGCTCTGATACCAAATTAGTAACGACTCGAAAAGATACTAAAATAATAATAAAATCTATAAAAATTTCGGCATGACTTCCGCAGAAAACATCCCTCAACAACCTGTAGAAATACAAAAATAAATGCAATGGCCTCACTGGGCCTTAAATCTAACTTATCCTGTCCCAACGCACAATTCAAATATTATACTACATTCCCAAAATAGTTACATACATACAAAAGTCCCGTTCCTCCATCTCATCCAAACATGGAACCCACTTAAGTTACATCAAATTACAATCCATAAAATGTAGCTAGAATTAAAAGTCCATAGCTTACAACATTATACTAATTAAACTAAAGTGTCACAAGGTAGTTAATATTACATTTACAAAATATTAGAGTCTAATACAAAAGATAACAAAATAGAATGGGTCTTCAAGCTCATCTAAACCTGTGGTGGACCGTCGTCCGCCACCTCTTTTCCATATCCTGAAAAAAATGTTAAAAATAAGGGGGTGAGCATAAGCTCAGTAGGAAGTGTCTAAGACACACTTCTTATGTCCCCGTGAATCCATACAATGAATAGATAAAAAGTGAACGGGATCATGCCATCGGAAAACACCTATTCTCAACCACAATAACAAGTATATAACAAATATCAACCAATCACAAATTTACCACGATGTCATGAAGTGCAATGTTATGCAAATGTCACTCCCCATTTCCGAAACAATTCCGTTTCAACAACCAAACCGTTAGTGTAGTCCGACCCAAGGCACCTCCATGGCGTCACGAAAGGAAGGTTGGTTAACTATCCACGACCACAAGGCACCTCCAAGGCGTCGCACCCGGCCTAGTTAACTCAACTACATTCCCTTCTAGACTACACCAACATCACAGACCATTAGGCGTCTCTTAGGTGTCCGGTTTTCACAACACTTTTAGAAAATATTTTCCCCAAAACAAATTTTATTTGTTCTAACAATTATTTTTCCCCCTTTCTCTTTCCCAATGGATGCATGAATACTTCATGCTTCAAATCATTAATTTAACTATATATTTTCACACTTTTCCATTTACATTATCATCACAATTTAATGAAAATTTCTAAACATTCCTTTCCTTTATTTATTTATAACCATAGCATCCATTTTTCTTCAAGACAATAAATAAATAAATAATCATGGAAACATACAACACATTAAACACTAAGCATGCTTATTTATATGAACTCAAATAACACAAGGAGCACAATTATTATTATAATTACAAAGAATTACAACAATAACAAGCTAAGTAATTAAAAATTAGCATGCTTAGAATCAAATTTAAGGGGAAAAATTCACCAAAGGCCAAGAAATTGTAGATTAGAACACCCCTACCTCAAATTGATGAAAACCCCCAATTTGAGCCCAAGAACCCTAGAATTTTGAACTCCTTGGAGTGCACCAAATGATGATTGGTTCCTATCAAATTGATGGCCTCGACGAGCTCAACAATTTTGCTTCACAATGTTCTACCAAAATCTAAAAGATTAAAGCTAGATCAAGCTTTTGAGATTGCAAAAAGAAAAAAAACAAAGTGAGATGCCGAGAGGGGAAAGGATGCAGCAGAAAGAGAGAAAGGAAACAGTTGACTCATGAAATGGCCTTATGGCCCTTTTTGATGTTTTTAATATTGGTGGGGCCCACTTGTTTTATTTCTTTTTCTTTTAACCTTAATTATATATATATACATATACATATATATAAGCATAACTATTACATTTCCACTTTGTATATTCTTATTTGCATCTAATCTCTAGGGATAATGGTAATAACTTGCTGTTAAAAAACAAATAAAATATTGTTGGAAAAAGGAATGTGTTTAGTAAATAATCTTAGTTTGTAAATGGAACTTAGTTAACCATCATCTATCCATATCTGATTTCTCAAAGAGGCATCAGACCCTAAATAAAAACCCTATAATGGATTTCTTCTGTCATATGTTACTGGTATCATGTTATAATGGGTTGTAACATTGATACGATATTTCGTTATTCTTTGCTTCTCTCTTTTAGTAGGATGAGAAAAATACTTCATGTGTGAGACCAGCAGTGGTGTTGTAGTGCATATTGTCTTACTTTGTTTCTGTTATGGGTGGTAAACTGCTTCTGCTTTCAATATGCTATTTCCAAATTTACTGACCCCTTTTTCTGTACCAACCAAAAGGGTTATCTAGATTGGAGTTTCTAGAATAGTTGAAGAGATCGGATTACTATATATAACTAGATTTGCGCTCTATATATCACAATTATTTAAGCACATTTTTCTTTTCTTTTTTGTTTTTTCATTTCTTCAGAGGATATATGGCTCCCGAATATGCAATGAGGGGTTATTTGACAGACAAAGCCGATGTTTACAGCTTTGGGGTTGTTTTATTGGAGATTGTCAGTGGGAAAAGCAATACAAGTTACAGGCCAAAGGAGGAGTTTGTTTACCTTCTTGATTGGGTAAAGTTTTCTCCTCTTTAGAATCATAGATGGTCTTTTGTCACACTTCTAGAGCTTGCACTTGTTTCTACTATTTATACATCATAGATAGTCTTTTGTCACACTTCTAGAGCTTGCACTTGTTTCTACTATTTATACTTGACTTCAAATGCACTCTGAGAAACATGAAATATAATTATTCTTTTTGCAAAAATGCCAAAAACCAGCCTTAAATTAGATTCAATGGAAAAACTTTTGTAAACCGTTCAATCTCCCATGAATGTAATATCTCAAAATAACATTGTTTCTTACATGATGTCAAGTAGATCCACATATTATTATTATTATTTTTGTCTTTTGCAGGTAATGTAAAGAGTGAGATAAAAAGAATAGAAAAGGAAAGGAAATTGATACTCAAATCGAATTCTTATTGAATGAGAGTACTATGATAACTTCAGATGCATTGCATACAAGTAACTGGCTTTTGTTGGTTTGAGTGATGCGAATATGTTTGATGTTTGTGTTTTAAATATTTGTTATGAAGTTTCACTTGCACCTAAAAGAAAAATATGTTTGTTTTGAAATGAAAAAATAAATAAATAAAATGATTGGCTTCATTTCGAGTAGCTTTATGATGAAAATGCCCTTGTATGTTCCGTATGTGTGTGTAAATAATTTTCTCTTGACAAATAACTCAAACACCTACTTCGTCCGTATAAAAGCTAGACTTGAACCCATATACCACTGTAACCCTTGGTGGTATATATTCCTTGTATATATAGACTTTAAAGTTTGTGTTTCATGCTTTTAAGTTAGTTGGAAAGTAGGATAAAAAAATAAAAAATCTCAGTATTTTGTCTCCGCGTGGAATTGCAGGCTTATGTTTTGCAAGAGCAAGGAAACCTTTTAGAACTTGTGGATCCAATTCTGGGTTCAAACTACTCAAAAGAAGAGGCAATGAGGATGTTAAACTTGTCTCTTTTATGCACCAACCTATCTCCCACCCTTAGACCATCCATGTCATCTGTGGTGAGTATGGTCGAAGGTAATAGCCCAATCCAAGTGCCAATAGTGAAGCGTAGTTCAGTCAACGACGACATGAGGTTTAAATCATTTGAGAAGATATTACAGGACAGCCAGACAAACATCTCGGCATTCTCTGTGGACAGTCAGGTGCAGGGGAGCATATCTATGGATGGGCCATGGACTGGTTCTTCGGTTTCTATCCCAAGTAACAGAACTTCATCAAGCAAGCTTCTTCCAGATCTTTATGACGTGAATTTGGAATAATTTATGAATATGTGATGTGTCTGTAATTGTAGCACTTTGAAATTATATTTATCTAAACTTTGTGCAATTCTATCTTAAATTATACTTATGATGTTATTTTTTACTAAGAGGTGAAAAGATGATGTACATATTTACTTTTTGAAGCATAGAGAAGTCCTGTACTTATTTTAAAGATGATGAGATTTGAATTTTGAACCATTCCATTCTATATAAATGAATGCTAGTCATCATCAAGATATTACTTCTATTTATTTATTTATTTCCTAGTAGAAGAAACTACTTATTTCTCCTATTTATTTATTTCCTGGTAGAAGAAACTACTTATTTCTCCTATAAATGAATGCTAGTTCACACGGATTGAATTCGCAGATTCACGAATTATTGCCCACTCCTAGTTTTCAAGCTGAATAAAGCCTACAAATGGTATGAATATTTATGAAATGTAAGAGCAGAGAAGTAAATAATTTGATTCATTCGAAAGCACTAGTGTTAGTAGAAAATGGTATCTTTTGCTTTATCATTTTATGAGTGTGAGCTTTATTTTGAGGTTCTACTTTTTTTAAATGATGAAATTATCGAATTTGCAGATTCACGGATTGGTAGCGGATTCAAAAAAATCGAATCCGTAGCTCACGGATCAGATTACAAATTGGACTATTAAAAATTCAATCTGAAAGTCCGATTCAATCCTGATCCGTGAGACTTACATATATATATATATATATATATATATATATATAGATATTCAAAGAATGTATTAGTTAATTTAATAATTGATAATCATTTAATGGATTCTAAGAATTTACTAATTAATGATTATTTAAATATATGAATTAATGGTAATAAATTGAAAATTAATTTATTGAGTTATGGTTTAAAAATAAATAATATTAGACTTTTTAATAAAATCTCTAATTTGCGAATTCAATTCGACTCGATCCATTATTCAAAGAATTCAATTCGATCCGCGAAATAACGAATTCAGATATTTTCAATTCGTTGAAAATGAATCAAAATAAAATTAATGACTAATTCAATCAAATCTGCGACCACCTACTGAAAACACAATTACCGACCTACACAAGCCACCTTGTATGACTTTGCACCTGTCAGTCGCCAAAGCATTTAATGTGGTTGCATTTTGTCTACAAAAGGCATCAACTTTTTCCCGCGGTTCTTTGAGGTACAGCTTCAACGTGTTTACTCAAAATGATGAATTAAAAATTAGACCACTTTTGCTCCTCTTTTAGGAATGCTTTTATACTTTTGGAATTTTCCATAGCCACGTGCATGAAAACAATGTTTAAAGGGTTAACTTTATTGACACCCTCTCAAATTTGGTCAAATATCACTCTTAAACATCTTTTAAAAATAACTATCACTCACATCATAAATTTTTACTCCGTTTTTCACTAACACCCCAACCATTAGTTGAACAGTTACTGGGGGCAGAGAACAATCGCTAGCTCCATGGATAATTTTGGTCCTATAATGCTCAATGATAAGTTTTTGCCTTAATTGTACCAATTTTGATATATATATATATATATTATCCGTTCAAACTGTACATCTGTTCCTTTAATTTTGTTTTGCTAACTTCGCAAATAGAAAGAGAACGTTAGTGTTCCTTGCACGTGATGAGCAAGCTTGGAAAATGGGCATATGATATAGGACTTTAAATCCTATATATAGTTTGAGCGACAAGAATCTCGAAAAATCTACCATCCTTAGTAAAAGGATCAACTCATTAGTCTTGAAAGCGGGCTGAAAGTACCTCCCTTGTTAAAGGGTGAGCTAAGTGAAGCTCGTATTAATCTACTTACCTTATTCAAGGGTGAACTAAGTGAAGCTCGTATTAATCTACTTACATTGTTAAAATGTGAGCTGAGTGAAGCTCATAGTAATCTACTTTCCTTATTAAAGTGTAAGTTGAGTGAAACTCGTATTAATCTACTTCCTTTATTAAAGGGACGAGAGGTCGACTACACCTTATTAAAGGTTTCCTCATTAAAGGGACCAGGGGCCAACAACACATTCTTCCCTCATTAAAGGAACAAGAATACGACTACTCCCTCTACACAGAAGGGTGACATAATTCAAGCTTCCTTCATTTACTAGAGGAACGAGACGACTACCTCCCGTATTAAAAGGGTCACCCTCATTAAGACTACACCTCATTCATTCATTAAAAGGACGAGAGACCGACTACACCTTCTTTCCTTATTAAAGGGACAAAAGGTTGACAACACCTTCTTCTATCATTAAAGGAACGAGAAAATGACTACTCCTTCCATTGAGAAGGGTAAGCCAATTAAAACTTTCTTCCTTTACTAAAGGGATAAGACAACTACTCCCCTCACTAAAGGGTGGAGACAATAGAGCCAAACCAAAGACTCTCAAAAAAAGAATAATACGTGCTAAAACTAACGTTAAATCAGACACATTATCTAAATTGTGCACAATTACTGGGGCAGAATATGATCTTCAAAATAGATAATTGATTTACAAGCTACATATTACTTTTGAACCGTGCTTCTACAATAAGCTTGAAAATAAGCAAAGACAGAAGCGGTTCACATTCCCTAAGCTTGACAAGCAAACACATGAATGGGGGGGCAACTGATAAAGAATATTAGCTCAAGTAGAAGACTAGCTGACACAAAAGTCCAAGAAGTTTAGATAGGTTACTTGTAGATGAGATATCATCGACTTCTATATGGAATAACTCTTTTAGTCCTTGGTGGAGGAGTAAAGGGAATCAACTCCCTATATGGACACGACTATCATTAATTCTCCTATAAAAGAAAAGTCGGGCAACTCAAAAGGTAAGCAATAAATCCCATATTTAATCCTTTATTGGATATTCAATCGTCAAGTACTAACTTAACCGTCGAAGTGCATCCGGCCGGTACCACGCTGGTCATCACTTCTCTTTTGTCTTGCAGGAATCGTCACGAGCTCCGGAACGTGCAGATTTTTACATCAACACGAAGAATTTAGTAATTAATGATTATTTAAATGTATGAATTAATGGTAATAAATTGAAATTTAATCTATTGAGTTATGGTTTAAAAATAAATAATATTGGACTTTTTAATAAAAGCTTTAATCCGAATTCAATTTCACCCGATTAATTATTCAACGAATTCAATTCCATCAGTGAAATAACAAATTCAGATATTTTCAATTCGTTGGAAGTGAATCAAAATAAAATTAATGACTAATTCGATAAAATCTGTGACCACTTACTGAAAACACAATTACCGACCTATACAAGCCACCTTGTATGACTTTTGCACCTACTAGTCGCCAAAGCATTTAATGTGGTTGTATTTTGTCTACAAAAGGCATCAACTTTTTACCGCGGTTCTTTGAGGTACAACTTCAACCCGTTTACTCAAAATGATGAATTAAAAATTAGACCACTTTTGCTCCTCTTAGGAATACTTTTATACTTTTGGAATTTTCCACAGCCACATTTTTTTTTTCTTTTTTCAAGGCAAGAAAAAAGATTTCATTGATTCAAAGGAAAAACAAATTACAACTGATGGCAGTCCACTAAGGCTGCTTCTTGAATCACTTTGGGAATAGTAAAAGCAAACATTATATCACTTTTCTCTTTCAAACCTAGATGACTCAATACATAAGCACTGAATTAACTTTTCTACCAACCCACTGCAAAGATATGCTTTGAAACTTGGTAAGCAAAAAGCTAATATCGTCCCAAATAACAGCTCTGTAACTTTGAGGACTCTTTGAATCAAGAAGAACTTTGCAATCACCTTCAACAATTAAATCAGTAAAGCCCCACTCCAAAGTCCATTTGATTGCCTTTCTAGCCGTTGCAGCTTTAGCCATTAGAGCAGAAGTCATGTGTGGCAATGAACAGATGACAATTTTGACAATGCACCCTTCTGAATCTCAAACAACAAATCCACCACCAGCTTCTCCGGAATGAGCCAAAAAAGAAGCATCAAAATTCAACTTATGAACACCATTGGGTGGAGGTTGCTACGCCTCTGTTCGAATAACTCCCGGACTGCTACAACGCATGGATTGATCATTCATAACTTGTTTAAATTCATCCCAGTGCTTCAAAGCCAGTGAAAAAACTTCTTGCTCTGTCATGACATTTTCTTCATAAATATAAGCATTTCTAGCTTTCCACAAACACCAAGCAATGTATGCAATTAAACTTAACGTATCCATCCGTATGGAAGAATGTTTAAGCCCTACAACAATATTTGAAAACCATGAAGACCATGTAGGACGAGGGACTTGTTCAACCAACACTCGCAAAGGACTCAAGCGCCACACATTTTGAGCAAAAGGGCAAAACAACAATAGGTGGTTGACACTTTCAATGTCAAGCCCACATCTTTTGCAACACTCATCCTCTACTAAATTCCTGCGTTTCATATTGGAAAAAACTTAAATATGACCATGGAAAGAAGCCCATAAAAAATGCAAAAAAAATTCCTTTGCACGAATATTCTAAAGACTTTGCCACACCTGATACAAAACATCTTGATCAGAAGGAGGAGCACCATGGAAAAGATGATTGAGAGTACCTTCCTTAAGATGTAACGCTACATTATAGGCTGATTTGACAGAGAAAGAACCATTACTAGAAAATGCCCATATTTTTTTATCCGAACTAGCAAATTCACTAATAGGAATTCTTTGAATAAACGTGCAATCTTCAATGCCAAAAAATTGATGTAAGAGAAAATAGTTCTAACTCTTGGTATAGTGATCAATAAGATCATGAACCAGTTGAAGATCACATCCCATGGGACAAGGAGTTTGAACTTTGAAATCCATTGATTCTGGAATCCAAGGGTCGTTCCAAATATTAATACTTCGACCATTACCCACATTCCACCGAAAACCTTTGAGAAGGATTTCTTTGCTTGAATAAATACTATGCCATGCCCACGAAGCCCCTCTCTTTAGACGAGACTGCATAAAGGAAGAATCAGGAAAATATTTAGCTTTGAACACCTTTGAAAACAATGAATCTTCTTCCACTTCCAACCTCTACCCCTGTTTAGCCAAAAGAGAAAATTTGAAGCTTTCTAAGTCTCGGAATCCAAGACCACCCGTTGCTTTGTTTTTGCACAAAGTGTCCCATTTGGTCCAGCAAACACCTTTGTGATCATTAGATCCTGACCACCAAAAGTGAATGAGTTTGCTTCATAATTTTTGACAAACACCCAAAGGAATTTTGAAGC